TCACGTGGGTCCACCAAGATTTTTTCACGTGGGTCCACCAAGATTTTTTCACGTGGGCCCACCGGTAGAGCAGCGTGTCAGTCCACCCCTGCCAACTGCCTCTCTCCTAATGTATGATCAAATTCAGAGTTGCTTCCAGGCATCTCTTCGGGGGGGGGGGCTAAGCCCCCCCCCCCCCCCCGAAAAAATTTTACCGCCCTCCCGAACGAAATGAAATTTATATAATGTATATAGAAAATATATACTTTTAACAGTGTCCGCCCCCCCGAAGAAAGTCTACCGCCCCCCCCCCCCCCGAAAATTTCAAGTGCCCCCCCGGAGAAAAAAGTCTGGAAGAAACACTGATCAAATTGAGGGCAATATTTCATGTTTGGTTATTTTTACCAAGTCAGTAACGTGATATAGGCTATTGTAAACAATTTGACGATTCATTCTCTCTCTCTTTTTTAAAATATTAGCTCTAAATCACCCATTCTTTTTGAAATGATAAATGTGGGATATAGGCCTACCCCTGCTGATGTAACTAAGAAATGTGTTCCAAACGCACGCCCTCGTCTGCGCCTGCGCGGTTGAAATCGATTGCCGGTCACTCGCGCCATGCCAAAAAGAAAAGTGTTAGACGAAGGAACAAAATAAAAAGCGACGGAATTTTAATTTAAAAAAAAAACTGGTTTTATTATAATGCTATCGTGTTAAAAATAAAAACTTTTAAATTATGTTTTATTTATCAGAATCCGATTAAATTGTCAGGTGATTCTATTTTTTGAAAATTCCGAAATCGATAATCCAAGTCTAGACTCAGGCCGGCAGACTTCAGCAGGTCAGTGTGACATTGCATCACATTGTTCCCGATACCTCCCCTACCCCTGCTGGATGCCATTTATTTGCCGCGGGATGCGAGTGTCTGGTCAGTGACCAACACGTGCATCGTCAGCATCAAGCCGGCGTGGTGAGATCACGAGACGGCCACAACTGGGTACAGGACAAAGGTTCCGCTGAGATGTGTTACCAAGCAACAATATTTTTACTGCTTACTTCTTAACGTTTCAACAATATTTTTACTGCTTACTTCTTAACATTTCAACAATATTTTTACTGCTTACTTCTTAACATTTCAACAATATTTTTACTGCTTACATCTTAACGTTTCTTTTTATTTTACTTAAAAGTAAAACGCATAGTAATTTGTAACTTTATTTATTTTAAAAAGTAGGCCACTTTTTACACACAAAAAAATATAAAAAGCCTAATCTTCGAATTGTTTCGTATTATTATAAAAGTAAAAGAGCTGAATTTTAAAAACTGTACGCACTTATTAAATCTGCCTTCCCCTACCCTCACCACCCTTTGAATCTGTAATTCCGTCATAGAGTACGGTCGGACACAGCCAAACAGGTCGCCTGTTTGAAGTTTAATCTACGCGTTTTATTTACATAAATACCAACCTGGCATAAGATACGTCAAAACCTGTCCAGTCATCTTTAACGTTATACAATTTATTTTATTTAAAAAAATAAAAATTATTTTTATTTGAAAATAAAAATAAAGCTAAAATCTATAAATTAGGCTGTGTAAGAAAAAAATATATACAATAAAAAATGACCATGAAAGATAATTTTAAAAATGATTACTCACCATTGTAGTTTATGGGTGCAGTAAAGTTGTGCGCAACAATGTGCTGTGTTGTCCACGCTCACCCAGACGTTACGAGTCTTTCGTGAGTGAGTTGCCCGTCTGGCTCAGCTCTTTCTGTTAAATAGGGAGCAGCCATTTACAAGCGAGCGTTTGATTGGTGGTCGGTGCTAGAGCTCGTGGTGCCATGGACAGTAAGGGGACATTGCATATTTACCCTAAAACTTATACAAATCTGGCAGACTTTATAGCCCCCCCCCCCCTCCATATATATATATTTATATATATATATATATATATATATATATATATATATATATATATATATATATATATATATATATATATATATATATATATATATATATATACATGTATAGGCATATACACATAAATATATATGACCTACATATATAGGCAAATATATAATTATGTACGTTAAATGCGCATATACAAGTATAATATGGCCTTTTTTCTAGTTCCGCCACTGGAAGCGATGCATGGTGATGTTGTTGAACACGCATGGGGGTGAGCTTTGTGCGACCAGCTTGGCGATCAGGTGACAACATTAATCATCACTCACACATCCAACAGCAAATACTGTTCCATCCTGTCTGACCAAGGCGATGATGGTAAAACATTGCGCTCAAAAGACATGTTTCCACAGAGCCATTGGTGATAACATAGATTGCTTTATTACTGAATAGAGTACATTTATTTTAAAGCAAGCATGTAATTTTAATGGAAATCCCAAATTAGCTGTGTTAGAAAGATGTTTTAGATTGACATGCAAGTTACCTGTCAATTTACCTAAAAAGGAAATACCAAAGAGAAGCAAATATGGGACTCTATGGGACGCGTTCTGTGAAAACAGTTAACCTTCGTCATTAAAGTGGCAATGATATGAATACAAATGGTAGCTGCAGTGAGGTTAATATAATAAGTAATAAAACAGATAGTGTTAGTTACCTCACAAGTTAAAGACAGTTACAAGTACTAGGGACGTTTCGACCCAAGGTCTTCGTCAGCACACAACAGTGTGGTTACAGATTAGACAAATAAAGACAAACAGTAACACAATTTTGGACTTAGCTCGACAGTGAAAACACGTCTTGTCTAAATGCCACGATATCCAAAAGAAAAGACGCGTGAAGAAGGACGCTTGGACACCGTATAGGGGTGGGGTTGGGATCGTGGTGTGTGGGGAGGGGGTGGGGGTTGGTAATGTGAAAGATAACTGTTCATTCAAACCATCTGGTGCCCGAGTGCCAAATTTAAGTATAAGTCGTTTGGTGTTTAGACGGTTTTTAAAAGTATGGCAAAACCGAACGGCGGTTACACAAAATTCCTTGTTTATGTCATGTCCACTCTTGTTAAAGTGTTTGACCACAGGAATATTGTCTTCATTGTTTATTGACCGCAGGTGTTGGCCAACCCTATCAGACAATCTTTTCCCCGTTTGTCCAATATAAAAGATGTTGCATCGCCTGCACTGGATGACATAAACAGTGATATTAACAATCCAAAAATACCACACAAAAAAGGCCCCCCACACACAACACACATGAGAATTAACAATAAACAGGAGGCTCCAGTGTCAATAGACGGAAGACAGGTAAATGATGTGCAAGAGTTTGTCTACCTTGGCAGCAAGATCAGCAAAACGGGAGGCACAGAGGAGGACATACGCGCTAGAGTTAATAAAGCCCGCTGCGCTTTCACAGTCCTGCGACCCATATGGAAAAGTTCGGCCATCTCCATTACCACAAAAATTAGGATATTTAACTCTAATGTCAAGGCAGTTCTGCTGTATGGAGCAGAGACATGGAGAGTCTCCAAGGCAAGCACAGCAAAGATACAGACCTTCATGAATAGATGCCTTAGACAGATACTGAAACTGAGATGGCAGGACAAAGTGCCGAACTTGGAACTATGGAGGAAAGCTAGGCAGGAGCCTTTAGGTGTGCAAATAAGAAGAAGGAAGTGGCGCTGGGTGGGTCACACACTGCGAAAGGCTCACACAAATGTTACACGCCAAGCGCTTGAGTGGAACCTCCAGGGAAAGCGGAAGAGAGGGCGCCCAAGACAGACCTGGAGGCGGAGTCTTCTTGAAGAACTGAAGCCAATAGGGATGTCTTGGGAGATGTCAAAATTAATAGCCGAGGATAGGAAGAAATGGAAGGAAATGGTGGAGGCCCTATGCTCCATAAGGAGCAAAGAGGACTAAGTCAAGTCAAGTCACACACAACACACGGTGAAGTAGACTGAATGTTACACCGAAAGCAAAAGTTACCCACAGAATGGCTTTGGTGAGTGGAGATCTGTGCTTGACGGCCCATAGACTCCGAGAAAAAAATGTAAGATGAACACATGATGCAAGTGGATGGAGAATACGGCCAGTCAAGAGGTATATGAAATATACAAAGACCCTAAAATAGCGAAATAAATGTATAAAAGTAAGAATGTAATGGTTGGGTTTTTTTTTTTTTAGAAAAAAAAGTCAAATCACAGAGGGGTATATAGGTGGTGAATGACAAACTCCAAAGGAAAACAACTAAAAGACAGACCTAAGTTCAAGAGATTATAGAGACAGACCTACGACAGTTTGGAGTCAAGGCTTAAAGAAAAAAAGACAGCGGAGAAGTCTAAATGAAAGGATGTGATGGCACATGACAGATGGATGAATGATATAAACAGCAGACCTAGAGATGTTAAAAAAACCTGACATCGTTTAAAGATGGTGCCAAACTCAGATCTAGTGCTCAACTAGGCACCGAGAAGTATGCACGTGATGAGTCATCAAAAGGGCGCCACACTGCTGAAAAGTGTCATAGGGAGTGGCGGCCTCTGTCCCTGCATCCCCATTGTCTACGCCTCAAACAGCACGATCTGTCCATTGTTAAAATTACACTGACAGCAGTAGAAAAACGACAATTTAAAAACACACTAATCAACTCTTTACAAGCCCAAGCTTATATCTCACACACAAAATCCTCCATAAGTATGACAATCAAATACTGGACAACCAGAAGAAATAAAAACGCCTTCTTAAACTTTTTATCCTGTTGGTAGTGGTTGACCTATCGTTACATCCATTCATGCGTGGATGATATTAAACTGTAGCTTTTGTTAATTTAATGATTTCGAATGTCTGTGGAGCATTTTTAGCACGCTGAATAATTAACAACCTTGGTCGATATTCTTCTAGCTACTAAATTAAATGTCAACCCGCCATCAAAAAAAAAAAAACAACTACTAGTCATATCTGGGTTCCTTCCCTTATTTAGCGACCGTGTGTCGCTAGTTAAAACCTCATCTCCCTTGGTTTGAGAGCTGTATGAATCATTGTTCCCACCATGCAATCCGCTCCGTGAATCATCCGCTGCGTAGAAACCGCACTTGGATCATTGATCGTCACACGATCGACACAGACATCAAGATACACAACTACATCCGAGTAGCGCCCCCTATACCCATGGTAACAAGGACTTTTATGGTTTAACCGTTATTTTTAGAAAAACCTGTTCAAAAACCTTCAATTAATGACATTAAAATTTAAAACATTTAGCCTTAAAGCACTGTTTCTTCCAGACTTTTTTCTCCGGGGGGGGGGGGGGGGGGGGGGGCGGACACTGTTACAAGTATATATTTTCTATATAAATTTCATTTGGTTCGCCCCCCCCCCCCCCCCCGAAGAGATGCCTGGAAGAAACTCTGCCTTAAAGTGAAGCAGACGCCCCCACGCCATGTGGACTTGAGATCAGGACTTGATATTCGGGAATCGAACTCGAGACCTTTAGGTTGAAGCTTAGCACTTTTATTAACGCCGTTCGACCCTGCATTAGTAATGTAATAATGCGAATGTTAAAAAGTACTTAGTTGACCTTCAGTCGATTTTTAAGAGAGCTGTTTTTTCAACCATTCATCAGATGGAAGCTTTGCTGGTTGTTGATGCAGTTTCTTAACCTCTTAACCTTTATGAGCAAATTTTAAAACGCATGTGCCCGAATTTTTTTTTTTAAACACGACTTTCCTACCTGTTAGAAATAATAAAACAATGTGAACTCAGTGAATTTGGGACAGGATACATTAAAAAATACTTGTTCCATTAATCATTAACTGCATGTTATGAGCAGAGAAAAAAAACCTGGAATAAATTATTTGTCTCTAATCGACACCAGCTCATTGTCTTGGGCTAGACTTGAAGCATTCATCACATAATTTGAAATTTGAGTTCTATTCATTAAAACTTGGTTTATTTTTCTATAAGGTTCAAGGAGGGCTACTTCTTAGTAGGCGAGTAAGTTTCCATTTTCAAGCTCTAAAACACAACAACAAAACAAATATTTGCTGGAAACTTTATTAGGAACTGAAAATTGCATGCCAATCTGAAAAAATACATAATGATCGAATCTGATAGACAATTGAATATTGGATGATGGCTAGCATTCCTTACATTTTAAAAATTATTGTACAACTCCAAAACATCTACATAGAAAATATTTTTCAACTTATATTTTGACTGTGAACTGTTAAAAATCTGAGAGCAACTGAACCTATAAAAACTGGGAGAAAAATGTATCACATTCAGAAAAAAATGTTTATCTGGCTCATGCAAGACAGGTCTGGTTTCAAGTCAAAACTTGAGAATCTGTACACAAGGATGGGATTTATTTTTCCAGTAATTGAGTGAGCTTTTAAAACCAAAACAATTTGTTCCAAGCGTGCAATGGTGTGGTTCCAGTTAAAGCAAATGCATAACATGTCAAGTCATGAGTAATTAAAAAAAAAATACATTATAAAAAAAAATGGATTATATCGTAACAGGATTTAAAATCCTTTGAATATTAAGTTTTCCACCAAGGGCAAAAGTTTTCATTTCTCAAAACATAAAAATTGTCAAAAACTTTTAAATGCAAAAAGCGCTTAAATACAAATACAATCAGCACACTAAGTTGATATAATCAATGATTATTATAATAATATAATACCCAATGAAATTGATTAAGTACTAACATACCAATGATGGCTCAGATATAAGAACATTGAATACATCAATAATAACAGGGCACAACATAACATGCATTTTGATCGTATGAAAAGAAATGTAAACTTATAAAATTGTGCCCTGGCAATAATAATACTAAAAAGTGGTATTGAAAAAAAAAATGAACACAAAATGACTTATGCATTAAAAATGGCAGTGGATAAACTAGCATCAACAAAAATAGTTTTGATTTGGAACACAAGAAAATTGGCCATGTGGCTCATATAACAACTGCTTAAATACAGAAGCAACTTAGAAATAGATTGAGTATGCATAGCAAGGAACATCAACTTAAAAAAAAAACCAGCAAAGTGAATGGAGGAAGAAACAAATCTACATTGTATTCATTGAAAGCAGAATCATCTTTCTCTTAGACTACAAATCCGAAAACTGCACCTCTTCTATCCACTGGTAAAAATATATTGACAGCAGTAGAGAAACTAAAATCTAACTACACATGACACACTACTCAACTCTTGTAAGCTCACAGAAAGAAAAAACAAGTACCAAAATACACTTCAGCAACATAGCTTTAAAAATTAGCAATGTCATTCTTATGTAAATAACACGGCAGTAAGGCAATGGGAAGAAAAAACACCACGAGGACTTGCATCAAAGTATTAAAAACCTTTCAACTTCATGCAGGAAATATACAAGTGGATCTTAAAATACTTATGCGAGCCTATGTGCAAAGCTATCATCTGGAAATCACAAGCAAAACATAAGTGCTAAATCACACAAAATTATTGCTTCGCTACACAAACATTTTGTGTAAGGAAGAAAAACTGCCCTCACTCACTCAACACTAACTTTTAGAGGCTGCAATTAAAACTGAAATAAAGATTTTCAAATAAACAATGGATACTGAGCTAGAGAAAAAGCAGAAGCTTGCAAAGCATGTTAACAAAAAAAAGATAAGCTTAGTTACGTACATTTCATAAACACATTCATTCAGTGAAAGGAATTCTACAATAGGCAGTTTTCTACTAGATTCTATTGAAACTGAACAATTAACATAATCCTAAATAAAATGTACTTGCTGGTCATGCTATATTAGCTATAAGTTTTGCTACATATCAATATGAATAGTTTTTTCCATTTTTATTTCTTTAAATATTTAAAACTACCGGTTGAATGACAATGCTGATTTATACTATTCAAATATGTGTATCTAAATTCAGTTATTTAAAATAGGTGTACACGTCTAAACATTTTAATAAGAGAAATGATCCATTTTTGCTACTACAGTTGAGAAAGTTTTAATTCTTAGAATGGCAAGTTAAAACGTGAAGCTGTAAATGCTGAAAATTCCAAAAGCTTGTCATTCATTCATTTCTTAGAAATTTTACTCCTTCCATATCTTGCCAGTCCTTTTACTTTTCATTCTCAGCATCCCCAGACTCTGAGATCAACTTTTTCCTCTGCACCTCTTTAATACGATTTTCCTGTGTAACAATTCCAAAATTTATAATCAGTGATTTTGTTTGTTTTGGACCATATTATAAAGCATGGGTTGTGTTTATTTTTCATATCAGTGTAAAAACATGATTTAATGCAAAAAGGGAAATAGCCAATTTGAACTTAATTTTCTACCTAAAAAATATTACCTTAAAAATGTCACTTAAAAAAGAATCAAACAAGAAACCAAATGGACATTAAAATGCTCAAACATTAGACACTATCTTACATGTTCAGCCAATCTTTCCTGTAAACCTCTGAGCTGCTCTTCCCTGTTTTTAAGTGCATTTTCCATCTTTAGTACAAGCTGTTCCTGTAAATCATCTGTTGATGGTCCACGACTTTCACTTGCTTGGCAAACTTCATTAATATGATTTGCCTGGTTTTAATAAAAACAAAACATGCAGCTATTTTAAACACTGCTTGTAAAATAAGCTTTACATATGTATATTTAAATACCTGAAGCAGTTATTTAATAGCCTTGCAATCAGCACATTGATGGGAGGTAGCACAGTGTAGTTAATATATTTTAGTTATTTTGTATGGGTTTTTTTTTTTTTAATTTTAAATTATTATGTATAATCATAGCTGAATTGAGATAAGTGTGCTTCAGGATAAAAAAACATGCTTATCAAAATCTAAAGCCTTGAAATAATTTTTCCTACATCAATTATTGACTTATTTGTATTATAATTATACCAGCAGATTATTAATAAACAAAACAAGATGATAAATTTACAAACCAAATTTAACTTACTTGATGAAGTAATCAAATTGGAAAGGATAGAATTTATTGCAAACTAAGAGACACACATGCACATATTTAACAATGATACACAAATTTACAGAAGTTCAAAAAATCTTAGATAGTATTACAATGAATTTAACAAGATATTAGAATTATTCAATACATTTAAAAATCGGACAGCAAAGCACCACAAGATTAAATAGGAAGACATGTGAAGTTTATATAATGTTTTCGGGGTTGTGAATGAATCTTTCATAAAAGTAATGAAAGATTAGATAGAAAACATGTGAGCACACTTACATGTTCTTGTAACTTAGAAAGCATACTCTTCAACTGATTCTGTCTGTTTTCTTCGTATGTTTCCATTTTCTGGGAGAGTTTCATCTCTGTTTTAGCTTCAAATTCTTTTACCATCTCTTCTCCTGCCTTCTGAATCTCTTGCACTTTTTGGGACTGCTCGTTGTAAGTTTAGATTTTATGGACGAAGAGAGAAGGAGGAAAAGAAAACCAAAGAAAAAAAAATGAATGTAAAAAAAGAAAAAATAATATTTTTTTGAGGACAAAGCATTTAAGTAAATATTGTTTCCTGCTTAAAAACAGGAAGGAAAAAAAAGAAACAAAATGAAAGGTTTTATAACCATAAAGGCCAAATGCTCTAACTTTTTAGAAGTTTACCATAGATAAATTATAAAACATTTAGGGAACAAGCATGTCATGACCCCCTTCAAAAAATGCAGAGAAAATATCTGAGATAAAAACTGAAGACTAAAGAATTCACACTATAAATAAAAAACCAAATTTAAAAAAAAAAAAAAAAAAACAATTAAAAAATAAATCAAACAGTGCTAGATTTGTCAAAAACATGACTTGTGCATAACCATTATTTCAGAAAAAGAAGACATGATATAACGCACTATATTCATTCAGTATAATGCCATATTTATAACAAGTTTCAGCAGAACATGCCCCTTGTCTTGTGGTGCATTGTTTTGATAAATAATAAGGTGTGTAGTTTTCTTTCAAAGTAGAAAAACACAAGTGACTGATTTCACTACATTGTTAAACGTTATTCAGATAAAGTACTGAGATGCAAGATAATTATTCTAATTGACTAACTAGAGATTACATCTAAACGTAGCCGAGAAATTAATTATCTTTTAAAATAACAGACACACTGACATTTCGGACAGGCTATAGATCTGGAAAGTCTGTCACACACATTGAAAAATGCTAATAAATGATTTTCAGTCATATACCCAATTAAGCATCTGATGAGATCAGATTAGTGTGTTTAGAATTTAACTATGCATGTAGACTTGTGCAGCTTGTTGGCAATGCAATAAATGTTAAATAGTAATACCAACAACATATTGTTAAATATTACTCGCACAAATAAGTGTAAAGTTATGTGACAAAAGCAGCTTTTTCAAAGTAATTTTTACATTATATAAGATACAGTCAAACAAGTTTAATAAGTTACTTTTAAAAGTGTGTGACAGACTAAAAACACAACTATACATCAAATATCAAGAAAAACTACCCACATGTTCTCTGAGTCTCTCCTGTAGAGCCCTTATTTGAGTTTCTCTGTTTTCTCTTCTGACTTCCATGGAGCGCCTTAGCTTTTCCTTGGTCTTTTGTGAAAATTGTTCACTTTCACTCTGTGCCTTGGTAACTACTTCAATAGCCTTTTGTCTCTCCTTTGCAAGCTGCTCCATTCGTTCTTGCTCAATCAACTGGAATAAAACAATCTTTAATATATTTTCTCTCTCTAAACATGCCTGACATCATAATAAATCACTAGGTAAATGAAATATAATTATTATATATTTGATCATACACTTCTGCGTTCTTCTGCTTTCTTTAACTTGTTTTCAATCTGCTCTTGAGATAATTCCCTTTTCTTGACCTCACGTGGTGACAGTTGGATTGGTGGGCGTGGACTTTCTACAGTGGCTGGTTTCAGGATCACATCGAAACTGATCCCTCCTTGTTTCGCTTTTTGATTTTCTGTTTTAATAATTGAAATTAGTTAAAAACAGGGCATTTGGCTTCTTATTCTAAATAATACCTAAAATTCATTCATGTCTTTTTTTCCATTAAAAACATTACTTTTATATAGAAAATGTATCTCTAATGTTAAAAAATTAACATTTTAAAATGTAAAATGATCATGCCTTAAAGAAAATAAACTGATAAGGAAATTTTTTTTTAAAAGTTTGTCACAGCAGTTAATTACTAAAAAAAAAGGTCAAAGCAAAATGTATGCAATAATAAAATCTTTGTGCAGCGCAATAACAAGTTCAAGAAACAGTTTTAAGCAGACATGCATTAAAGACCAGCAAGCACATGTTATACTTTAATCATCAACAATGAATTTTTCTCTATGAAAACATTATGCCTATTAGGTCAATACACATGTGTATAGGCTATCAATTATTTACGATCTGTGTGAAGAAAAATAAGATAATTTCAATACACCAAATCCACGACATTCACAAATGGAATATTTTTTAAATTACCTTTACCCTTCCAAACAACAATAGCATCATATGCCTGTCGATTTGGGTGTATGCGATGCTGGACAGTCTTCTTTTTTTGTGTTTCCCTCATGCAAAGAAAACCGAACCAGCCGCACACTTTATAATCCCAATAAGCAGCATTGAAAAGATGTTATAAGCATTAAATGTAATGGTAAACTGCATGTTTAAAAATCCACACATTCCATAATATATCAAGCAGGTTTTTCAAAAAGCTTTTCAGTTATTACTTGAGCTTCACAAACATCAAATAGCTTGTCTTTCATTTTATCTATTACAACTATCTATTCCACTGAAATTCTTGAATAAAATTTATGACTTAACTTATAGGTTTATATTTTAAAATTAAAATACAGGAATTAGCTAAAAATAATTGATTTAAGATTTTTTAAAGTGCCATTTTAGGAAAGCGTAACCCTATTCTGATAGAAATTCAACCTAATGAGCACTAGCATCCTAATATTGGTAAATATGAGATTCAATGCAATATCAAATGATTTAATTCATGCCGTAAGATTATATTTAGCATTTCTTTTTTTAATTTTTACCTAGATCTCTGATCTGAAATTTTAAGAAACAACATTTTTTGAATAATATTTCAAACTTGGAGGAATAAGGCCCATTTAAATTTTCTATAAATCGATAGTAAGCAAATCTTGAATATACAACACGCTGGAAAAATTATGGTAGTTAAAACAATGGTGTAGCTAAATTACATTCTTACCTGAAGACATTTTTAGATTCTGTTGTAAAATTAACACTTAGATCCACAGAATTTAACTGAAACAAAAAAAAAAAAGGTTTTAATTAACCATCACAATATGTTAATGTATAGACAGAAGAAGTATTAAAAAAGGAATTGTGAGAACAAAAGCCAGTCTGACCCCAGACAAACTTGCAAGGCATGATGTCATCAGACCAGATCAATAACTAGCACAGGCTTATTTCTAGAAGCTAGCCAGCTATCTGGACAATTATTCATTGCCAGCACGGCTTACAAAGAATCCAGTAATATAAAAAAGGCAATAAAAGAAAGACACAGTTTGTCCAGAATAATAGCATTAAAATATTAAGAAGACATACTGATTCTCATCAACAGTCTTGAGTAGAATGACACACTGACAAATCCAGCTCACATCAAAATGCAGGGAAGGGGAGCAAGACACGGTATTCACATACCCTGCTGGCTGGCACCAGAAACAACTTGCATGGGAGAGCCAAGTTCCAATGACGGATCAATACTTAGACCAGTTCTTAGCAACAAAAAAAGTAAGCAACCCTCATCAGCCACATGGGAAAGCAATGTGTTGCCCTGCATTTAGTAATGCAATTTCATGTGTTAGAAGTAAATGACATTTTGTTACATTTTCAGTCCAGGATACACTGATGAAAAGAAAAAAAACTGGCAAACAGGACAACCACATGATGACTCATGTTCAATTTATATAGGCCTTACATGCATTGGTACAAATTAAATACAATTAAAACCAAGACAAATCTAAAAAGGCCACAGTAACCTTAAATTTTCTCTCAGTTCTGCATGTCTGTGCTATTAAGCTGCAGTACTAATCAATAATTGTTTACCCTTAGCGTGTATGGCACCACTTCTCTCCACCAACCCACTACAAGTATTTCTGAATGAATTGCTACAGAGTAGATAAGCCTTCAGTATTGATCCATCCATCTCAGTTACAGCATGAATCATTCCCATAGAAAATGGTGCATGAGTAAAGTATATCAGTGTCCTTTTTAGAGTACAGAATTATAAGTGACTGTAAATCTATAAACAAATCAGTTAAATACAGGATAGGCCTACATTTATATCTATATACTACTAAAACTCAAGTTTACATGCTTGATAATTCATTTTTTTTGTTTTTTGTTTGTCTGATTAGTTACAGGGGAGAATCTGCATTATGTGTAGAGCTGTAAAATAGTATTTGGGTAGAGAACATTGATTTATTTATATGATTATATGATTTATTTTCTTTTTACAATTTACAACAATTTTTTCAATTTTTTTTTAAAATAGATGTGATTGATAAAGTCTATCAAAACTTGGCGGGATACAGGGCAGGTGAAGTAGAATTCACCTGTTTCTGTGTCCTCAGCATATGAATGGATTGGCGGAACACTGGGCAGGTGAAGTAGAGTTGAGTAGGTCACCTGTGACGTCAGTATATGAAGGGATAGTGTGGTCAGACCCATGCTCAGCCAAAATCAGTGTTTTTAAAAGATAAATAACGTCTTTTTGAATATGGGGGTCTGGTTATTTTGTGATGATAAGTGACAGACGTGATGTCATTTATGGATGACCCCGAAAACCCAGTTATCTAGCTAGATAACGGGTAGTCTAGTATATCTTTAAAATCATAACTTGGAAGGGTAGTCTACAAAATAAACCAAATTTAAAACTTTGGAATCTAAGTGCAGATATTTTTTTATTAGTTGACATAAAATAAAACTAAAGCAGCACAGAGAAAAATTGCAACATCTTTTAAACTGTCTTTTAATTTAAATTCTAGACTGCGTAAACATTCAAATTTTAATCATATTTAAAGCAACTAGACCTACAGTCAATAAATTTTAAAATTTTAAAGTAGGTTAAAAAATGTATAAGTAGATGGGACTCTCTAAATGCAACTATTCACCCATAAACATTTTTAATTTTACATAGTCAGGACTCTGTCCATACTTTTTAAATTTAATAATACTCCAAAAAGATTCTCCAGAAGTATACTTTTAAAAATACAGATTTTTTTCTACACTTTTTTTTCTAAGACTGTGCGAAACCTTGTATGTAGGGCCAAACACCAATTTTTCCAGTTTGGTAAAAAAGACTGAGGTATAGTTGGTGACTTTGGTATAAATACCTGCCATTCAATAATTTAACTAGATTATCTGTAGTCTATGCCCTGTCTTACTGCCTCTGAATTCTGTGACAAATTTAACTTAAATTTAAAAAAATAAAGGTGTAGGGGCCTAAATGTAACTGATGTTGCAACACATCTATTATTTTATAGACTTTAAACTTGAGGAAAGAAAACTAAAGCCAAAGATGAATTTACTTATGAAATTTCATCTTGTATGAATGAATACTTACTTATAATACTTCATTTACAGGCCTAGATCTATATAGGCCTAATAACTATATATTATCAATATATATATATAATATTACATAGGCCTATCAAGTATCAATGGATAGTATTAATAAATTGGCTAATATTTTTTTTTAAATATTAGCTTTATTATTAGGCTAGGGGCCTATCTGTTCATTATCAATCATTCATTCATATGGATTCAATTATTTCAATACAATATCAATAGTGAATCGTTTAGATTTTCTAGCCCTTAGCTATTTTACTTTTAGTAAAAATCTAGATAGATATAGATTCTATCTAGATCTACCTAATCTAGATTTCTAGATGTATTTTAATTTTTATTTTAAGCCCCCCCCCCCCCTAACTATTAAAACTAAGCCCTGCCTTGCCTTAGCGGAATCAGCTGAATAGTGGAGTCTAGAAATTCACTCCTCTAACAGACTATAACTAGACCTATTCTAGATCTAGATTACTCTAGATCTAGAACTAGTCTAGATGTCTAGACGACTGCTTTCGCTCATCTCACAGACTCACACTTGAGACACTTGTAGCCGGTAGCCTGAGTCTGGCATCAGCAACACCGTGCCGTAGCGGCCTGTGTTTTCAAGGCTACGGGCAACAATCTGCACTGCTCTTTTATTTTAAAGCCTTTGATTACCAAGATTTGATCAAAAATTATCTCGCTTAAATAAATTTAAATAGCCGAATAGCCTAGGCTATAAGTGTAGTATTATAGTAATATACTCACAGTTGCTCTACGAGTGATTTCCACATCAATCGCACTAACAGTCTACTGTTGGTGTAGCCTGAACGGTTTATTGATTGAAAAAAATTGCGCGCGCATTTACACCTGTTTCTTTCATTACCATTGGTCGAATTTTTTAACATAAAATAACCGATGCATATGTTTATTATTAGGACCCTATGCTAGAAATATAGGCCTAGAATTTTAAGTCTAGATTAGGCCCTAGATCTAGATCATTTTATTTTTATTATTTTTCCATTCTTAAACGTTTTAATACAATAAAATTGCATGCCTAAAACAACTTGCACGACAAATGAACGCACCGAAATGTGTTTATTTAAAATTTAAAATAAATAGGCTAATACATTATGAAACAATTGACAAAACAAGGCGACTAGGCATCTTTCTTGGGTAAAGCTTGTCCACTTTTCTGCTAAAAGCAGTTTTCATGTATGGACCTCAGGGGCGGAACTACCATGCCAGCGGCCAGCCAGACCCCCGCAGTGGGGGGGGGGGGGATTAATCATTAAAAAAAAAATACAATGTAAATTACGTGCAATTTGCCTTGATGTTTGGTTCTTTAAAAAATACAGTAGCTGCTGTACGATTATTTTTATTTTTCACATTTATAGTTACAATAGCAGGCTCTTTCCGCAAACACTAAAATCAAAACCACTACACAAACTTGGTGTACAATTTTGATGACTTTCCGTGACTTCTTGCTTCCATTTAACAGCCAAATATGAGTGACGTAAAATGTTCACACATCGGCATTAGGCCTATAACTTATAACTGTTCGATCGGACCTCAAAAGTGTGCTTTGGTGGGGATGGAGGAGTTCTCTTTCTTACACAATCAAACGCACGCTGTCGCCGGCAAAGTTCTTTGGAAAAAAAAAAACAATAATAGCACGAGAAGCCGCTAGATATGTAGCGGACTTTCATGATGCACGGTAATTCTTTATAGCTTTGGTTAAAGGGGTTAAACTGCATTGTACTTTTTAGCGCAATTTCCATTCTGGAGAATTGCGTTTATTAACCCGTCATTTCTGTATGGATGGATGGATGGATGGATGGATGGATGGATGGATGGATGGATGGATGGATGGATGGATGGATGGATGGATGGACGGACGGATGGATGGATGGATGGATGGATGGATGGATGGATGGATGGATGGATGGATGGATGGATGGATGGATGGATGGATGGATGGATGGATGGATGGATGGATGGATGGATGGATGGATGGATGGATGGATGGATGGATGGATGGATGGATGGATGGATGGATGGATGGATGGATGGATGGATGGATGGATGGATGGATGGATGGATGGATGGATGGATGGATGGATGGATGGATGGATGGATGGATGGATGGATGGATAGATGGATGGATGGATGGATGGATGGATGTCCGCAGCTTTAAGTCGTATCTCCTCCTCAACGAAGCAATATCGAGGACTAGTTCCAAAGCAAAAATATTAAGCAAGTTCCAAGGATGATTGTGGGTCAAAAAAATTCCCGGGTTTCCTTCCTAGATTTCCCGGAAAAGCCAAAAAACCTCAAAAAAATGCAGTTTTTGGCTCATATCTCGGCAACCAGACCACTTAGCGACTTGAAACATTTACCAATCGACCTGCCATAATTTAGAACAATATTGCCGAAGAAAGTTTTCAAAAATATCCTTTCGTTCGGTCACAAATATTTTTTTTCTAAGCGCGACAACTAAACACCCCTTACACGTCCGCATTATTTAAAATTACATTATACATTATGATGCAAAAGTGTGACGTCGCACCATCTGAACCCCTCCCCTCATCACACACCTTCACAAAAGTACGGACCCTCCACCCCCCTACGAGTGCGACGTCATTTATGGTCGACCCCAAATGAGTTATTTAGAAAATGACTTAATAAACAGGCAAAGCGGTAGATTGATTTTATTTTCTTTCTTAATTTAAAAAATACACACACATGAAGAAAAAATTAAATGAATTATAACATAGCGACATAGATCTAGATCTATTCTTGTCTAGATTTAGATCTAGATCTACAATATGACTAGATCTAGATCTACAACTCAAACAATTATTTGGCCATTTCACAAAAATTGTCTCTGGCATAAAACTATCAAAGCTACTGCTAAGCTAGCATTGCGCGAAAGATTTTGTTCTTTGAACTGGCCGAATAAGCAATCGTTTTATTTATTTAGTTAGGCTAGTATATCTACTAATATCTAGATAAATAGATCTATATTAATTATATTTATTTAGTAAATCTAGATATCTCATCTGTTCTAGCCTAGAAATAGAAATTAAAATCCATATGTACAATATTGAATATTCTCAGACTCAGTCAGTCAGTATCAAGACCAAGTAATAAATTGCCAAGTATCAAGTATCATCAATATTTTATTATTTTTAATAAAAGTAAAGTATCACTAATTCACTAATGAATGACTAAGTAAGATTGACTGTGAACAGTGTAATGAGTGTATCAGCCAGTAGTTTACTCTTACTCTGCTGTTGTAGATTAGTAGACTCATAACTAAAAACTAGTCTAGACATCTAGATGTAGATCTAGATACTAGACTCTAGATCTTTCTAGTCTAGATACAATAATTAATACAATGATATTGAAATTGATGATAACGGCATTAACGGAGTCAGAACTCATCAACACGTCATCCTGATGCCTCAACTTAGAATTAAGATTACTTAGTTATTAGTTAAGAATAAGATTACTTACTTACTTATTAATACTTAAGAATAAGATTAAGACAAGAAGTTAGGGCTAGGCCCTACTTAGTGTTTATCAAGTTTATCTTTTTTTCCTCAGAGTTCTTAAATCTTATCTTAGGTAACAATAATAAATAAGGTGATACAAACTTGTTCTTGTAAAAAGAATGACCTTACTTGAGATAGATGGAGTCCAAGTAAATTTTCCCTTCACACCATATCCATGTCAGGTGGAGTACATGAGCAAGGTGCTCACTTGTCTTCAAAAGGTTAGTTACTAGATCTAGATTTGTAGATCTACTTTTGCTCTTAACATTTAAAAAATAGATTGTCCAGAAACAGGAACAACTTACTACATTTTGTTATAATTATGTTTATTGACGATACCTAATCCAAACTACACAATAGCGGCATATAACAACCTAACAGTAAATTTAAGAGACGAACGCTACTTATCTCATCAATCAGGTCTAAAAGTGTACTAAACATTGAAAAATGTCCATTAAAAGATTTTAAAAAGAAATTAAGTTACTGCATACAAAAACATTGTTAAATTACACTTTAACAATATGTCTTTTTTAAATTTGTATATCAATAATGATGCTTCTTCACAGAATCAAAACGGTGTACTAGAGAGTCCTACTGGGACAGGAAAAACATTGTCTTTGTTATGTGCCTCTCTGGCCTGGCAGGAGAGCAGACGAGCTCAAGTAGAATTAAATAAACAGCTTGGCATTGCCTCAGCATTATCATCTAATGAAAATATCAGCAATCAAACTCTGGAAAAACTAACTGCAAGTTTGCACACAGCAACTGGTGCATCATGGGGCTCTGATGAGTTTCGTAAGTTAGGGCAGTTGTAATTGTTTTGAGCTGAGACATGGCTTTAATTACAATCTAATTGAAGAAACAGTTAAGAGTGGGATTGTTACAAATATTGTTTACAGTTTTAAAAAATTGGAATTTCACTCTCTCCATTTTTTAATGTTTTAATTATTGAATAATATTCTGTGAGAAATGTTTCTAGCTTAGCTGTATTCCTCCTGTTATACTGCGAGATATCTAGCCATAAACATAAACCAACTCTGGATTTGCCAAATGTACAATTTTTGTTGTGTTACATGAAATACTTACATAACTTCATCTGTTGTAACAATTTACTCTAATCCTGCAATAGTTGTTCCAAGAATAATATATGCATCAAGGACTCACTCTCAACTTTCACAAGCAGTCCAGGAGTTGAAAAGAACTGCATATAACAGGTTGTTAATTTGTGTGTAGTGTATTTTACTTATCCTTTTTTGTTATTGGTATCAGCAGTTTAAAAATAATATATAGGCTAAATGTCATCTACTTAGCTTGTTTGACTCATTGTGTTAATGTTTAATATACAAATTAAATCATGACTTTTGTCTTTGTAAAGTGTTAAGTCATCAGTCATAGCTTCAAGGGAACAACTATGTATTCATCAGCAAGTGCAGAAGCTTACCAACAATGCAGCAAAAGTAAGTTATCAGTTTGACTTAATTCTTCTTATGTATGTTTTGTTTTTTGCATTGTTTTTAAAGGCCTTTTAAAGTTCAGTTTATGTTTTAATAGGTGCAAATGTGTAGAATCAAAGTGGGTGCCAGACAATGCCATTTTTACAACAATATTGAAGGTAAAAGCAGTCTTGTATATTACATTAATTAAACGTTAATCCATTTGCAAATGGTTCTTATAACTCTAAAGGATTGTATACTAAATGGGACTGCATACTGAATTCAGTATTTATTTAGTCCTTCTAAAGTTAAAGATACCTGTTGTTGATTTTATTTTTAAAAGTTATCTGGAAGAATAAATTAATTTAATTTTTGAAGTCATAATTTTTGGAGTAATACTTTTTTTCAGAATTTAAAAAGAAAAGTGATACTCGCAAAGTTATTGGGAATGTTGTTGATATTGAAGACATAATTAAAATTGGTCACAAAACAAAGTAAGATTTAAAATCAAGTAAAATTATTTTTTCATCAGCTAAATATTTATTTAATTCATAACCATTTTGGTTACCACTGAAACTGAATGAGGTGTAATCAAACGGCCATATTTTTCACCTGTAATTTCTTTCTGTAATTTGACTGATATAATTATATAATAATTAACTTGTACTGTTTTTATTAACTATTTTTTTTTTTTTGCATTAGCCTAGCTAGTGTATGTAAAGTTAAAGATTTAAATAAAATATTTGATGTTGCAGAACTTGTCCTTATTACATGGCAAGAGAATTGAAATCAGATTCTGATATTGTTTTTATGCCATACAATTATTTATTGGATAACAAGGTAAATATACAAAAGTGGGCATAAAGAAATATATATGTATATAACCTTTGAACTAATAAAGCTCCAACAGTTCAAAAGAACCTGATTTGATGTATATGATTGTTTCATTATAAAAAATGTTGTATTTGTTTCCAGTCTAGGAAAGCACATGGTGTTGAGTTACAGGGAAGCATAATCATCTTTGATGAAGCCCATAATTTGGTAATCAACTTTAAAAATACACCAATAGTATTTTCTTTTACTCTATCAACATCGTCATACATTTTAAATACATTTTCTTTCAAAATTTCTTTCAAGCAGTTTTGAAGTGTATATTTTTAATTTCCTAAAGGAAAAGATTTGTGAAGAGTCATCATCCTTTGATCTGAGCTCTCTTGATTTGGCGACAGCTATTGAAGAAACCACAAAGTTAGCAGAGAAAGTAGCTGAAATGTGTACAAGTGAAGCTGCTCTATCCCAGGGTGAAGATTCTGCTTTAAGTGAGCTATTTTTTCTGTCTTTTGTTAACACAAGGAACTATGAAAAAGTAATTCTCTCTGCAGTTTTTATATCAGTCACCTATAAAATTTAAGATTTTGGAATTTGCCTAGTGGGTAACATTTTTATTCCTTCTGTAGTTCCAGAGTTCAATTTGGAAGATGTTATCAGGTTAAAAAGTAAGTTGTGTTTTTTTTTTAATTATAAAAATTCTTTATAAAGTGAACTTAGATGTGAACCAAGAAAAGAATTTTTTTTAAAACTGATGTTGAAAATTTTTCATTTTTTTTCTAGAAATGTTTTTAGACATTGAAGAGAAGCTTGACAAAATTGAAATTCCGTCATCAGATGGGAAGACTTTGCCAGGAATGTTTGTGGCTTTGGATATCTATTTTATTATATATTTATGTATTTGTTAATGGCGCTATTTGAATATTATATCAGTAGAATTAACACATAAGTAATTATTCAACTGTTGATAGAGAGTTTTGTCACATTGAATTTTTTCTGTCCTGAATTCCTTTTTTTTTATAATTGTTATGAAAAAAAAAATATAATTTTAGTATTAGAAGTAGGCAGAAACTGATATTTGTTTCAATTTACAGGTTTATATTTGAGTTCTTGTCTGAGGTTAATATTACTTGGTCAACAAAAAATGTTGTGCTAGATGTTCTGGATAAAATGATAACTTTTCTTGCTAATGAAGGTAATTATTGAGACCCTTTATTGAATCAGATTGTCTCCCTTTTGTGAGTTATTTTACGCAATCTGTTTAATTATCACTCAGAAACTGTTACTTTTTGCTTACTTTTAGCAGTGATTAGGCAGTTAAATGACAAGTATGTCTTTCATACTTTGAACTTGTTATTCACACTTTGACTTTTTCAGCTCAGTATTATTTTCCACATTTTGCAAGAATTGTTTCCCCCCCCTCTATTCTTTTAGCACCGACATGAACGAAAATGTTTAGACAATGCCTCTGAATTTAGGTCAGCATTGTTTTAAAAAAATGCCTTTTTACCACTTTTAGAAAAAAAGTGGCATTTGTAGTGATTTCACGACCTTGAAGTATATCATTAAAAGTTTTATTCATCAAAATAACTTAGCAAATGGAGAAAATAACATTATACACTGGAGCTTAGCTAGTGCTGTGTTAGATTACTGAATGATTTGGATCATCAGTCTAGAGTTATGATTATTTATTTTTTTTTCAATGTTTTTACCTTTAAAGGTTACAGTTAGTGTACTTCATGTTGATAGATAATTTGTCAAACTAAAAATATAAAAAATCCTTTTCTAGATGGCAGTTCTCTCCTTCACACTAAAGGTGCTGGGCTTTCAAAATTCTCAGATTGTTTGAAGGTAAATCATATTTGCCCTTGTCTTGAGAAAAATATTTTTATTATCGTTTGTAATTCTTGTTTGTAGTTGTTAAAGACTGACACAAACTTCTTTAAGACAATATCTATTTGTATCTGAGTTTAATTTTTTAAAATTCAAATAAAATAAAATGTATTAATCTGCTAGTCCAGCATATTTTACTCCTTTTAAAAATTGAGCTCTGCAGTTAATGTGTACACTATATATAGATGTGCTTTTTTTAAAATTTAGATTGTGTTTAGTCAAGAACCCAGAGAAGCTTTGTCATTATCTTCTCATCAAAAACATTTGTCTCAACATTTCAAAGTAAGTCTTTTCTTTTATTGACTTACATTCTTTGTTTTCTCCAAAATTTTCTGAAATTAAAGAAAACCTTAATAATGGTTTTTACTGACTTCAGAATCTAAGCATTTTTTTTGTATTGCTCATAATAAGAAATGCACAACTTTCATTTTAAGGAAAGTTTTTTTTTTACTGTCTCAATATTACTATCTTATAGAAACTAGTACCTTGCGACTTAGAATAGTAAATCTTATTTTTTGCTATTCAATTATTTGTTTCAGGTTCATATACAAAAGAAAAACCCAAACAATCAATTTAAAAAAAAGATTGATTCTTGGGCATCCAATGCAAATGCAGATAAAAAAGGTAAAATTAACATTTTTCCTGTTATCAGTCAAGTTTATGATCATTGTAAACATCACATGCATGATTTTTATGAGTTGATTTATTCTACTACAGACAGTATAAATAAAACAATTTATTCGCAGAACTGGTCCTAAGCTACTGGTGTTTTAGCCCAGGCCACACAATGAAAGACCTTGTCGCCCATGGTGTGAAGGTTATCATTTTAACCAGTGGAACATTGTCTCCTCTAGAATCGTTTACACTGGAGATGCAAATGTTGGTTCAAATAATATTGTAACACTTTCTTTATTATTCTCACTTTAATACTAGGTATTACTACCATACAAATAATATTTTCAAGCAAAATCTTTTCTTGTAGTCTTTAGTAACTTGTTATGATTTATGTATCCTAATATCAATAGAATCCATTGATTAATCCATGTGAAATTGCACCTCTCCAGCCCCTTCCCTGTTCAACTTGAAAACCCACATGTCATCCAGAAAAGCCAAGTGTGGCTTGGTATTCTTTGTAAAGGCCCAGATGGGGCCATTCTAAATTCTGAATATAAAAACAGGTGGGATAAATAAACCTAGTTCTGCTTAAGAATTTTAAGTACATTGACTTAACTGTTGTGTTCCATTTTCAATACAATAAATCTTCCATGATGTAATTTGCTAGAGTTTTATTGCAAAGAATAGGTAAATTATTTTGTAAATTATAATGCATATTTAAAATTCCTTTCATTTATATTATTTTGTTTTTATTTTTTGAAGATCAACTGATGAATATAAGAAATCCCTTGGCAATACAATAGGTGTGTAGGCTACATGTTATTTTACTGTTAGCTGCAAATATTTTGAAAAAAAAAAGTTTGTTGTGTTGTTTTTTTTTAATTTCAGAACTTAATAACCTATTTTTTATACATACATTTAAAAGAATTTTTTTTTACAGTGAACTTTGCTAGGATTGTCCCTAATGGTTTGCTGGTGTTTTTTCCTTCCTACCCAGTGATGGAGAGTTGTATAGAGAAATGGAAGGTAAAAAACATTTTAATTTGCTATTCATTGGTTTCCCAACTTTAAAAAACTTTTGGTCACTGAGACTTTACCAACCCTAAAACTTTGATAAGTCAAGTTACACAAAACAGGATATATAAAAAAGCTAATAAAAAACTATAATAATTACAAGTTTTTATAAATGGAAACAAAAGAAGAAAACAGCACGATTTTGAAAAAAAAATATACAATCATGAACTTTTATTAAAATAACTAAAAAGAACAGCGTGGGTCACTTCAAATTTTTTTATTGAGGGTATTATTACTATAGACCTATAAATTTTCTTTTTAGCCACTTATACGGTGGTGCATTATTATGGGTCTATATTTAAAAAAATCATTTTCTTCTTCTTGTTAGTGCATATATAAATGTTATTAATGTTTTTCATTAACTTTTTAAATACTTTTAAAATTTAGCTGAAATTGAATCACACAGCTTAAAAAAAAGAAATGTGCACCAAATATATGTAAATAATGTGTGTGATTAAACATAAAAGTAGTATTTGAAATAGGAAACATTAATTTATTAAAAAAAAAAAAGAAATATCTAATTCAGTTAAAGGTTATGTCATGCTGGATGTCTGGATATCAATCCTTTCAAAGTGGTCTTAACTTTGCTAGCAATCAACCCATGACTTAAAAAGCATGAGGAATCCAGTTAAATATTAGCTAATTTAAAAAGCACCAAAACGTAATTCTGTCGGAGCAATGTTTGATTTAAATAAGGTATTAGTCTACAAATTGAGTATTTATTCACCTACTAGTTTTTAAATTTTAAAACCAAAGTGCTGCAATATTTCTGTAATTTATGAAGTCAAAGATTAGATAAGCAAATATATATTGGTTTTAATATTTATGTTTTCCTAAATAATAGAAGATGTTCCGCTTTCAGTAGTATTCAATTTCTCAGTATTAATGATTATAGGGAACATTATAAAGGTTCTCTCCCTTAGTTATTGTGCATTTTCTTTCATGGGAAGTAATTCAGACACTATATACATTAATTTTCAATTATAACTTTTTCAACATTGAATTGCATTCAAACTTAATAGACAGTGAGTGATATTAAACATTATTATAATAATAATAAAATGTCAGTTATATATATGTATATATATTTACTTATATCTGCATAAAATAATATCATCCATTTCTATTCAAGTCATCATGACTCCCAGCTTGGCAACAGTGTAGTGCAAACATTCAAATATATACTTTGCTTATTCTTACAAAATTGTGAACTTTATTTTCCCACAACATCAGATGACAAATCAGTGGAATGTTATCTCACAGTACAAGCCTGTTGTGGTCGAGCCAAAGGGTAAAGCTGCATTTACTGAGGTAGACTTCTCTCCCTTTATCTATTATCTTAGACATTATGTCAGATAAAACGAGCTATCTCTAAAATAGTTTTTACAATTTTATTGCAGGTAATGGATGAGTTTTATACTAAAATCAATGACCCAACTTTAAATGGAAGCATTTTTATGGCTGTCTGCAGAGGAAAGGTTTGCTGAAAACATTACACCATCTCGCTTAGTTTTTTACTTTGCACTATAAATCTTTTATTTTACTTTTCATTAGTGCAGGTTGTAAATTTACTCATAAATGTTTTTATTTAAATCTAATTAAAAAAATTATTGTATTGCTGTGCATCAGGTTAGTGAAGGCTTAGATTTTGCTGATATCAATGGACGTGCTGTGATAATTACTGGTTTGCCATACCCTCCTAAGTTCGATGCTAAAGTCCGTTTAAAGATGGAGTTTTTGAAAGAAAATAAACAAAACCTTAAGGTAATTGTCTACTTTAATTGTATCCCATTAACATTAGTATTATAAATTCTTGAGAGGGTTGCTAAACCAACAAGTCTTGAGTTTGAACCCTCTGGCAGATGTGGCTCGACAGCTGGGGACAGCAATTCTTCTATGAGAGACAACCACAAAATCAAACAAATGCCACCTTGTAGTTTGTTCTTGGTTGGACAAAGGCTATGAAAGCAAATCCAAAAAGAAAAGCAGGCTAAAATCCGAATGAGCGACCTATATGGTGCATAACAAGTTGATACGTAATACTTAATTGTTTTGGAGGGAATCCATTCCAACACTAAAATAAAGGAAGAAGAGAAGAATAAATCCTTGGTTGCCGTATGAGAATGTTGATACGTATACTTTTCTCTCCCAGGGATTGGATGGAAATATGTGGTACTGTCAGCAGGCAACTAGAGCAGTCAATCAAGCCATAGGTCGTGTCATCAGGCACAATAAAGACTACGGTGCCATTGTGCTATGTGATACCAGGTCAAATTCCATTCAATAGTTTCTCTATATTCTGTCCACAGTCACATTGTTTTTAATAGTTAGTATGTTGTACTACGGTGCCATTGTGCTATGTGATACCAGGTCAAATTCCATTCAATAGTTTCTCTATATTCTGTCAACAGTCTCATTGTTTTTAATAGTTAGTATGTTGTACTACGGTGTATGTGATACCAGGTCAAATTCCATTCAATAGTTTCTTTATATTCTGTCAACAGTCTCATTGTTTTTAATAGTTAGTATGTTGTACTACGGTGCCATTGTGCTATGTGATACCAGGTCAAATTCCATTCAATAGTTTCTCTATATTCTGTCCACAGTCTCATTGTTTTTAATAGTTAGTATGTTGTACTACGGTGCCATTGTGCTATGTGATACCAGTAGGTAGTCCAAACTGGCGAAAAAGTGCGTTTTAGGGTCAGTTTTTGCGGTTTTCAAAAAAAAAAATTCACTACTTCTAGTTGTCCTATAAGAATAAAAATTATATGTCAATAAAGTTTAAGTCTTTATCTGTCGTAATCTGGTATTTTTATATCTGTAACACATGTTTGAATGTGTTTTATATTTGTTTGAAAAGTATCAGTTACGTCAACAAATTTCACCGTTTTGCGTGTACCGATCGACCCCACACTGTTTTATTTGGTCGCGGCTTCGCGACGAAGCATCGTAGAAGCATAATCTTAATGTCATTTTAAAGATCGAATTCTATGCTATCGTTTGATGTATAAATTGAAAAAATAACTTATTTATTTCATTTAAAAAATACAGATTTTAAACTTTAAATGACGATATATACACGGAAACAAACTAATTCTGTTTCAATTTTTACACCGATGTAAAGTTCAGTTTTATAACTACTTTGTGTTGTAAATTCAAGTATTTCTGATTTACGGTCGCGAAGCCGTACCCCCAATAAACATATAACCCTCGAGTCGACTTTCAGCCCCGAGTAAGTTGCTCGCCGAACGGTTTTAAAGGTTGACGACCGATGATGCTAAACGGATTTTACCCTTGCTAGAGCCTTCAAACAAGTTGTAAGTACCATTTTTAAAGTTTCATTTCCATTTTAATAAATGAATTTTAAGTTTGAATGTCAGTTTGGTTTAATTAGTACACGTTATTAATGTAAATTTGAAAGCTACAAGTCCACGGTTTTAGCGTGTGAACTACGCTTGTACACAGGGTGTGTTTAGACGTGAAGCTATTTAATTCAGGACATTCTATGGACTTGAAATATGGATGCACTTAACTATTAGATGCTAGTGTTTACTAATTCTTTAAAATCTATTGACTGGGATCAATGATAGGGTCGTATTACTACAGTTTATCTGGACTATCACGTCAAAATTATGAATCGACAAATTCAAAATGGCCACCAGACTATCCTGGTTACTATGTGGACGAACTCAATTATTTACAGGGAACGAAGGTTAAATACTTATAAAATACTAATGAAACACAAAAGAAATTTATAATTATAATAACTATACATTTTTATCAATGTATTTAAAACAAAAGACACTAAATTTGAAGGACTAATGTGATTAATTTTTTTATTTTCTGTTGTGCACTCTGATTCTGATTCACCTGCTAAATAATGTGAAATGGTCTGCGCCAGTCTCCGTAATAAAATGTACCAGATCAATTTTTAGATGGTTGTGCAATTTATTAAGATTGTACATGTTGTGACTTAGTTTTAAATGTTATATTAGTTGTAAGTGTAAGTAGTACTAGTAGTATTTCTCATTATTTATTTATTTTATATGCATATAATAGTAACAATGAAGGACAGTTAAGTTGTCCTATAGGATGTTGAGAACCACAGTATGGCATCTTCATCATTGGATATCTCAACCATTGTGGGACAAGCAACGATTATTTCAAATTTCATTCAGTAGAATTACTCTTAAAAATATATATTAAAAATATAAATTACTTTTAACAAAAAGGTGTTTTCAGGCTTTTTCATATGTTTCCAGTTATAGTCATAGGACAAATAGTAGGCCTACACAATAGGCTAGTAGTAAATTTAATTATATTTTATTAATCACTAAATCAATTGTTCGTTCCATAGCTGGAGACATTTACGGTGGCCTATCCAGAACTTTCCTTACAAGGGAAGGGAAGAAGGCCAATACCCCACTCCCCCCTCCCCCCTACAATTCCCAAAACATATTACTTACTCTTGATGCTCCACAAGATCAAGGTTGAGGGAAACAAGACGTACAAAGATGTTCCCCCAAAACTGTTCCCCCAAAGCAGTTATCAGGTTTGAAAAGAAACCAAAGCATGTGGCATCAACTGCTGCATCACTTGTAGGCATCACGTCTTTATTAAACTACATTACATTACATTTACTCTACTAAATTTTGATTCTGTTTCTCCTGCACTAGATAACTGTGGTATTTTTTAAAATAATATTTTAACTCATGTGATTTTTGAAAATAATTAACACATTTTTCCACGTCGACAATAATTTTAGAGTTATTCCAAAGCAAAAAAAAAAAATTGAATTTTTTTTTTTTTTTATGAAAATAAAAGTGACCAAAACGCATATTTGTCATTTTCAATTATTTTTTTACCTTAGAAAGACTCATTTTAGATGACTGAAAAAAATTGGGCATATATATTACAAACTTTGCAGCAACTTTACCAATTTCCACACTTCTATGTTATTTAGTTTTAAAAATATGGGTTCTCAAAAATGGCACTTTTTGAAAATCAGTTTTTTACCAAATTTTGCTTTTTTAAAAATCGCATAACTTTTTTATTTATTGAGATATTTTTATAAAATTTGTGGCATAGACCTTACAATTAAAAGTTCTTTCATGACATACTCACTCCAGAAGTCTGCAATCAATAGTTAATTTCAGTTTGGACTACCTAATACCAGGTCAAATTCCATTCAATAGTTTCTCTATATTCTGTCAACAGTCTCATTGTTTTTAATAGTTAGTATGTTGTACTACGGTGTATGTGATACCAGGTCAAATTCCATTCAATACTTTCTTTATATTCTGTCAACAGTCTCATTGTTTTTAATAGTATGTTGTACTACGGTGCCATTGTGCTATGTGATACCAGGTCAAATTCCATTCAATAGTTTGTCTATATTCTGTCAACAGTCTCATTGTTTTTTATAGTTAGTGTGTTGTACTACGGTGCCATTGTGCTATGTGATACCAGGTCAAATTCCATTCAATAGTTCCTCTATATTCTGACCACAGTCTCATTGTTTTTTATAGTTAGTATGTTGTACTACGGTGCCATTGTGCTATGTGATACCAGGTCAAAATCTGTTCAATAGTTTGTCTATATTTTGACCACAGTATAATTTTTTTTACAGTTAGTGTGTTGTTGTAACCAGAGATCTTGTTTCACCTGATATTATTGTTCTCCAGATTTTCCTCCTTTGACAGTAAGAAATCTTTGCCACTGTGGGTGAGAGACCAGGCCCAAGTTTTCAGCAACTTTGGGTTAGCCCTAAAGGACGTCATCAAATTTTTCAAAGAAGCTGAAAAAAATGTGAGAAACTTTTGGTCTTTTCAGTGTTGTATTTGAACTTATACAAGTTACCATACAGCAATTTCTGAAGCATTTGTTTCAGTGGACAAGAGCTATTATAATATTGTGTTTTCATTAGGAACTAAATCATTACCCCCTATTGTGATATAAAAATGAAAAGTTCCCTTTTGAACCTGATGGTCTATGGGTCAAGTGAAGTAGAGTTGACCCATTTCTGTGACACCTTTACTTTCCTTAATGTGAGTCAGGTACCCATCAGAGCTGGGTGGACTTAGATACGTTCTTTGGACTTGAACTGGGATTTGAACTTATGGGTTAGCACTCGTATACTCTACCATTTGACCACGCTATCCGACCCTATTGTGATGTATTCTGTTAAATTAGATATTTAAAAACATTCTCCACCTTGTTACTGAATCGTCGTACTTTTGTACTTCAGTTTCCCACCCCATTACAGAAGCCTCACATACCCAGAGCAAACCACAGCAGTGAAGACACCAGTATTGTCAGCGGGGCCTGTTTTGAGCCTAGTTTTTCTAGAAAATCACAAGGTCGACCTCACTTACCAATCACCTATGAGAGAGCTTGTGATGTTGCCTGTCATATCCCTGGTCTAAGCAAAACAACAGGTCTTTAAAGTATTAAATACTTAAACTTGATAATTTTCTTAAAGCAGCAAATATACATTCAAAATATTTTTAAAAATTGTTGTAACTTTTCTCGCATTTAATTTTTAAATATGTGCTTAATGTATTATTTTATCAGTACATCAAAACGGTTTACACTAATTTGAATTTAAATAGATGAACCAGATTCCATTTGCAAGGAATATAGTCAGCAGAGGTCAGGGGTTACATTCAGCAAGAAAAGATCTTTACTAGAAGCCTTAGAGTCAGCTGAGGTATGTCAATCTTACTATAGTGAACTATGGATTTGTTCTAATTCATAATTAACATGGACAACATGTTGTTATCTATGATAATCATTTGTTAAATTTCCCAACTGTAAGATGGTAATTGATGATTGTTATTCTTTGTAGGAAAAAGCAAATGAAGATGTTAGTAAAAATGGAACAAGCTCTGCATCAGAGGTAGTTTGAGGAAAATAAATCAAACTTTTGGAATTTCACCTTGGTGATATTTTTTTATTGTGTACAAAAATAAAAAATTGTATGAAATTATAACAGTACATTATAAAATATTCTGACAATAAAGCACATAAAAATTACCTTTTATATTCCAGTTTTTACCACCTCAGCCAATTAAGAGAAAACTTCCAGGAAAGCAAAAGAAAATCAAACTCAAGGTAAAATACAGGATGTTAAGTTACACATTGTATTAAGGGTTTATTTACTTACATAGAAATTATTTAGAGTAAACAGGGCCTACTATAAAATATGTTTGAAACAAAATATATTTTATATATTTTAATTTATTTACTATTTAATTGCTGTAAACTTCTATGAACTTGACACTGAAGAGTTTGTGTCCACCCAACAGCCATCCCCCTCAACAGAAGTGATCATCTCTAACTCTGAGACTGAAGCAAAAGCCAAAGTTGGTGAGATGAAGAACAAGATGGTGGTCGAGTCCTCACAAAACTATGTTGCCGAGGTAAACAAGTATCATCATTGTAATCTATCAGAAATGTGATTAGTTCTAGCGTTAAACATCATCATTGTAAGTATCAGAAATGTAAGACCAATATGTAAACAGGAAACATGTTCACATTGTGTAAGCTGTTGTCATTAAACCTGACAAAAATTCTTTTTATTTTTAAATACTTCTTGGTCTTAAAAAGGGAATTTATTGTTTAGTGTGTAACAGAATTACACAGACACCTGGAATAGGTTACTTTCTCCTCCTGCAGGTCAAGTCTGTGTTGACCGCAGATGAGTACAAAAAGTTTTCAGAGACTCTGGTCAACTATAAAAAAGACCGCCAGATTCACTCTGTAGTGCCGGTGCTTGCTGACCTTTTCACAGTTTCACAACAAAAATACCACCTTTTTCAGAGTAAGTTTTGTCTTTGTTTACAAAAATACCACCTTTTTCAGAGTAAGATTTGTCTTGGATGTGTTTACACAAATACCACCTTTTTCAGAGTAAGATTTGTCTTGGATGTGTTTAAGAATTTTCTTCCCATTTATTTCAATTTTCTAATTTTAATATTTAGTGGACATTGTTTACAGCCGAATATATCTTTAACAATTAAAATTTAATTGTATTCTTTAGAGTTTTTTAGATTTGTTCGACAAGAAGACAAACAGTATTATGCACGGACATGCTTTGAGATAACAGGCCTGAAGTGCAGCACACAATCATCTTTCCTTGACCTTCACAAGCGGCCGCATTCAACGCAGGTCAATTTTACTCAGGTCAAAACATTTAAAAAAGATGAGCAAATGACAGGACAGGCAGTAGCAGAATGTAGCCACAGAGGGTAAGTTCATAAAACAAGAGTTGGAAGTGTTTGAAAGCCATATATCAAGTGTATTAAAAACAAGAGCTAAGAAGAGTTTAAAGGTCATATATCAAGTGTATATAGAAAACATGAGTCAGGAAGGGTTTGAAGGCTATATATCATGTGTATTTAAGAGTTAGGAGGGTTAGAAAGCATTATATCAAGAATAATTGAAACAAGTTAGGAAGGGTTTGAAGGCTATCTATCATTTGTATTTAAGAGTTAGGAAGGGTTTGAAAGCCATACATCAAGTATATTTGAAATGAGTTAGGAATGGTTTGATGGCCATATATCATGTAGTGTTTTCTATTTTTAGTGTCACCCAGTCAGTGTTTGACAGATCAAGTCTACAAGCAGAAATGACAGCCAGCTGGTCTGGTCAGTCAGCCAGCAGGACTGGTCAGTCAACCAGCAGTACTGGTCAGTTAACCAGTTCATCTGGAGCTGAGAGAAAAGGTATTTCACTTGCAGTGGATTTTTTCTATAGCGATTACATGAATGTTGTGTTTAGATTATGTAACTTTGCTTCAGGTACAAAATCTCAACAAAATAATTGTAGTTGTCCCTATAAAGTATGTGGCTTTGTCTCATTAAGGTGTTGAAGTAATATACTGGGTCTAATATTTATGCAACATTGTGCTTGCTCTCAAACCATTTTACATAAAATATGGAGAACATTTATTTTCCATGGGTAGAAAGAAGTGGTTTGGGAAAATAAGGTACTATCAAGGACATCTACTAAGTTGGTAATAAGTTTACCTTTAAATCAGGAATAATTATGAATCCAACTTTGGGCATTGGAATCGGACAAAATAAAAATCTGGGATTTATTTGTTCTAATTCTTCAACCGTTTTAACCAACAATAAATTCTTGAGGTAAAAACACAAACCGCTTGCATCTCTGTTGATCATGAGCCCTGTGTTGCTACCAGCGCATGCACATGCCCCAACTGAGCCTGGCTACAACTATCAACATCCTCCACTTTGATCTCCAGAGTTCCGAGGCTTCCTCCCTCATTACAAAAACACTGTCAACTTAACCCTGCTAAAAATGCAAGAAGACGGCCAAGTTGTAATGCGGTCAAAACGCCTGAGTCAGAAGTCTGCCGCCACGCAGGAAGGCCACACCCTGTGGAGCTCTGACAGAAAGAACCTACCGCAGTTTGTGCATGATGACAGAAAACATTACCACGAGCTGGTCAGGAAAGGTTTCATTGATCCACAAGAAGACATTTTTACCCCGGATATGTTTGTCTACCCCAGGACTTGGGAGGAGGCAAGGGCGGGGCTCAGGCGAGAGTTTGAAGCTTTTACGACAGGTCAATTTATATCCACTCTGTCTCACACAAATACTTTTCTTTTCAAAATGTTAATTTGTATTTGTTCACAGGACACACTTATACATTTCTTTACAAAATGTTAATATTTTAATCAACACAAGTTAATGTATATCAGCTAATTTACAAAAAATATTTATGAGAATGTTGTCAATTAGTTTAATTAGACTAAATAATTATGAGCATCAGCTTTAACTACTGGCATGAACAGCTTTGTTGTTACAATACTTTGTTCTCCTGGGTATTTCCCATACTTCTTTTTAAATTATTTTCCTACATTGAATTATTTATTTAAAAACACTTTCTATTCAAAAAGACAGTAATAGTAATTACATGTCACCTGCAATTACAAAATGTCACATGGGTTACATGACCTAGTGACTGGAAGATTCAATAGTGTTGATTGATGTCTAGAATTAAAGCTCATTGTGGGTGGCTGTCAGTGTTTCTTCCAGACTTTTTTCTCCGGGGGTGGGGGCACTTGAAATTTTCGAGGGGGGGGGGGGGTTGGACACTGTTTCTATTTAAATTATATAAATTTCATTTCGTTCGGGGGGGGGGGGGGGTAGAATTTTTTCAAAGAGATGCCTGGAAGAAACTCTGATGGCTGTGTTAGTAGTACCAACAGTAGAACTGTCTAGTCTTGCTTTGTTTTTTGTTTAATGTGGTGGCATTGCTATGTGTTAGCAGTCCAAAATTAATCTGACTGCCAGATGAGATTGTTATTACAGTAACAGATGGTCGGATGATTACTTGAGTAAGATTGGCCTTATATTACTGAGTAGGCCGGATGTGTAGAACTCAAGGCCAAATGGCCTGACTACATCAGCATGTAGTGAGCACACCAGAGAAGACTAGTTTACTTGTTCCATCACACTTAAGTTGTCTATAACCTAGCATTTTGTCTTTATTTATGAAGACAACATTTTTACTCTTAATTTTTGTTGTGTTTCAGACAACACCATCTTCTCTACATGTCTATTGTGTAGCAAGCCACCAGAGAATGGTCTAAGACATGAGTGTGGCGCCATCTGTTGTTTTCTGTGTTGGAAGAGTCAGGTCTTTGAGGTTAGTGTCAAATGTTTTAGAACATAACTGAGTATATGTTTGTACAGATGATATAATTAATTAATGCTAATAATGACCAAAGATCTAACAATTTAATTAATGAGTGTAAATAATGACCTAACTAATTTCTCCAGGGACCTGAGGACAGGAAATGTCCGTACCCTCATTGTGGTGCCAGAGTCAAGAGGAAACACCTGAGACCTGTGGGGAAGAGTGGAGAGTCCTGAGAGTCACCTGGATACACCTGTGACCTGTGGGGAGCCTGAGGGTCACCTGGATACACCTGTGATCTGTGGGGAGCCTGAGGGTCACCTGTGGCCTGTGGGGAGTCCTTAGAGTCACCTGGATACACCTGCCACCTGTGGGGAGCCTGAGGGTCACCTGTGGCCTGTGGGGAGTCCTTAGAGTCACCTGGATACACATGTGATCTATGGGGAGTCCTGAGGGTCACCTGGAAACACCTGCCACCTGTGGGGAGTCTGAGGGTCACCTTTAAATACCTGTGACCTGAGAGGAGCCTGAGGGTTACCTGTGACCTATGGGGACCCTGAGGGTCACCTGGAAATACCTGCCACCTCTGGGGAGCCTGAGGGTCACCTGTTCTGACGGAATGGTATTTTTTAGCTGGACTAAAATGTGTTCACTATTGACATTGTGTAGCCCATCAGTATAGCAGACTTGGTTGTCACAATGTGAATATTTTGAGATCTTGACTGACTGTCCTAGAGTTCATGGGTGCAAATTTTGAGATTTATGTTTTAAAAATTGTCTTTCTGTTTGGAATTATCAAACATTCCAAACTTTTCCTGTCAGGACTTAGGAAAAAATGTTTTACATGTAGATAAAAGTTGTTTAAAATAAATTTTTAAAATTCAATCCCTTGTTTTACATTATTCAGCCACTCTTGCACATTTTCAAACATTAAAATTGTAATGATTTCACATTTATATTTTTGGATTGGAAATGTGGTCTCTTTTTACCTATTTAAAGTGAATTAAGTTAACATCACAAGATTCGACATAATGCACCAGTCCATTCATATTAGATGAAACTAATATACTACAACTACTCCATAGGATGTAAAGGAAATGGAAATAGATGAAAGGAATTTAATATTTAAAAAAATTATATTTTAAAACTGCTAACTAGTTGATGACAGCAGAGCTCAGCGTTTATCAGAAAAATGTGTACGTGTTTTCCCACATAACCGACATGCTTAGAACTGACTTGAAACTGTCTGAAGCTGTTTTATACACTCGTCCAAAACAAGTTGAACTAAACATCTAATTAACAGGGTAGACAACTTACTCTGGCTTGATTTGCTCGAGTTATACTGAGTTCAGTCCCATGCTTTCTCATTCACAAGAAAGCAAAATGTACACAAATCTTCACATTTGCTTTGAGTTATATTTATAAACGCATTTTTTTTTTTACAGATGCTGTCATGCTGTCCATGATTTAAAAGTTTTAAGAATGAGAACTAGTTATGACTCAGTGCTGATCATGTCCTCAGTTAGTGCTGGTCAGTTCCTCAGTTAGTGTTGGTCAGTTCTTCAGTTAGTGCTGGTCAGTTCCTCAGCTAGTGCTGGTCAGTTCCTCACTTAGTGCTGGTCAGTTCCTCAGCCAGTGCTGGTCAGTTCCTCACTCAGTGCTGGTCAGTTCCTCAGCCAGTGCTGGTCAGTTCCTCACTCAGTGCTGGTCAGTTCCTCAGCCAGTGCTGGTCAGTTCCTCAGCTAGTGTTGGTCAGTTCCTCGGCTAGTGCTGGTCAGTTCTTTACTCAACATGGGCAGTGATTTAGTCATACTCTACCAAGACTAAAACTTTAGATTGGGCTTCCAAGTCCATTCAAAATTTCCGTTAAGATCCTATTAGATCCAGACTAACAATCTTGGTAAAATGAGGCCTAAATATGAGGTTAGTGACTTTCTTGAACTGTCAGCCATAAACTTTGGAAGAAGCATTGGCTGGCAGTGGTGAAAGTTAACATAAACATATCCACTCAAACAAACGTAAACAGGCCTACACAATGTGGTCTTGTTCAATCTTTACACTACCCCCCCACCCCCTTTACTTTCATAGAATGAATAAAAATGTATTTTCTTCTGTCTTTTGATGTTATTTTTTTTTCTTCTTAGTTTGTGTATAGATCACGTTTTTCACCTTGACCTTAGACTGGGTGTTATGAGTAACAATCCGGTTTAATGCCGTCTGTATATAACGCCACGAGCATGCGCAGTCGTCGGCTGTGACGTAATGTCCGTAAAAAAAAAACAGTACGATGGCAGTTTGACAGATTGATGGTGAGATGTTATTGAACTATTTTTGCCGTCAATTCCTAAAAAAGTGTGAGCTAGGACTTAACCAAAGTTATGTTGAATTTAATCCGAATGGGGGAGTGTTGGTGACACCGATGTTCGACAACACAGATCTAGTCTAGATCTACTCATTCGTCAATAGTTGTGTTAAGTTAGTAGTAGTAGGCTATTCAGTGGTATCAGAAGGCGGGAGCTGGGGGTGCTGTTCGCACCGGGTGACACCTTTTTGGGGGTGACACCAAATACACAAATCTTCAAATTTACTGACAAAACAATGTTTTATCCATTAGGATAAGTGAAATAGTAGGGGGAGAGGGATGACACCAAACCGAATATGTTAATTTTTTATGGGGGGGGGGGGGGGTGACAACTTCAGATACCACACCGGGTGGCATCCACCTAGTGACCCCACTTAAAGTATTGCAAACTCAGGTTTAGAATTATGGTCAGTAAGTAGGGCTAGGCCACGACTTGGGTTAGGGGTAGGGTAAGTCATATTTTTATTTGGCTAACAACTAGTAATCTGACCCCCCGCCCCTTAAAAAAAACAACTTAAATATTGAGGCTTCCCCCCCCCCCCTTGTAAGGAGTTGTCTAAGGCGACTCAGGTATGTGAACATATTCAGGCACAACATTATGAATAATAAGAATAACCAAAGAATGGGCGTGGGGTTTTAAATCTTCACTTGGTTCAAAGTCTAAAGGAGTTCTCAGTTGTCCCAAAATTACGTGAAATTCATAGGCGGGAATGGGGAGGGTGGCTAATTTGTTTCATTCCAAGGGACATAATTCTGTTAAAAAACTGACAATAAGCAAATACATTATTATCAATAATGGATCCTGTAAGATTTTCAAATTTAATTGAGGAAAATTTTTTTTTTTTTAAAGTTGAAACTTTTCTGCTATATCGTCTGCTAGCCTGCAGTAACAAAACATGAAAAGAATAAGAAAGCAAGTTGCACGTGTTCTCGTATCATCTCGCGATAACTCCTGTGTTAATACCATCCCCGTGCAATTAGCCTAATGCAAAGAGACAGACGCACTGATAAGGGGAAAGAGCGACGTGTGCAGATGCTAATTAATGTAACAACCCATTTTTTTACTACCTTATACCTTCACCCCCCTTCCATTCCTTAGCTCAGCTATAAATAAATATTCTTTACATTTACACCAAAACTTCCGATATTCCCGGATTGAGTGATTCTATTGTCACAATAAGCCATGCAACCACGCTTATCAGCCGAAAGATTTTTAGCGTGTAAATACGTGCTGTGTGACACTACATCCTAAGGCTTAGCCTAAGCCTTTTCGATTTTTTGCGAAATTACCAACACTTGAAACTGGATCGCGTCTGTATTTGTTTGCCCCTCTCGCGTAATCAGGTGCAATAAAACCAAAGCTGCCAGTAAATTATAGTGAAGTGGGTAGATGTGGCATGTCTTTGACAAAACAATTGCTGGACAAAAGTTGCTGAACTAGCTAGGGCATGTCGACCTTCCAGTGATAAAAATTCAGCAGCGGAAGTAATAGAAATGTATAGTTCAATGTGTCACCGCTTGTCATAGGCCGAAGAAAAGCGATCAGCCGAACTGAATCACAGCAGTCAAGAAGGGAAATATCTCTGTAGGAGAAGGGTGGGACGACACTTTTATTTAATAATATAATTTTTTTAATCAGGCTCGGTTTTATGTTTGGTGCAGTTAGCTCAGTATTTATTTTTGGCACCCTATAACACGTTGTGTCAGCTTGCCCTAATGTCAGCTTGCCCTAATGTCAGCTTGCCCTAATGTCAGCTTGCCCTAATGTCAGCTTGCCCTAATGTCAGTTTGCTCTAATGTCAGTTTGCCCTAATGTCAGTTTGCCCTAATGTCAGTTTGCTCTAATGTCAGTTTGCCCTAATGTCAGTTTGCCCTAATGTCAGTTTGCCCTAATGTCAGCTTGCCCTAATGTCAGCTTGCCCTAATGTCAGTTTGCCCTAATGTCAGCTTGCCCTAATGTCAGTTTGCCCTAATGTCAGCTTGCCCTAATGTCAGCTTGCCCTAATGTCAGCTTGCCCTAATGTCAGCTTGCCCTTATGTCAGTTTGCCCTAATGTCAGCTTGCCCTAATGTCAGCTTGCCCTTATGTCAGCTTACCTTGATGTCAGGTTCCCCCAATGTGTATATTAAAACTAACAGTTGTAACTTCTATATATCAACGTCCTTTACATCTACACATCACGAATGATTGGCCTTAATGAACTAAATGCTGCTCTCATCCAGCATGAATGACGTAGTCCATAATTTTGGTTGCACAGACTATCTATGGGTTAATTAGTGTGAACAAATGTATTAGTGTCGCCATTCTCCCGTCGGTATAAACGTTACTTCTACATTTGTAAAATATAGAAACCACCTAGAAATATTTGGACCCTAAAGTGTACAAACGGTGGAATTGTTAAGAAAGAAAAGACATGCGCACTGAACACGTTATGTTACTGACGAAAGTTGCGGTTCACTTCCTGTGAACGTATTTTGAAACACAGACGTGAAGAAGTCCCGAGAGATCATTAAAATTTCTCGCGAGATTTCAGTAGGAGATTTGTTGGATACTGCGAGGGGGGGGGTGGCTTAATGGGGTGAAATACAAATTACCTCTGGCATGTCCAACAACTGCACGTGCTGTAATGGCAGCGCTAAAGGAGGGGAGAGAAGGTGAGGAATATAGTGGGGGCTGGGATGGGAGGGTAATCTCAAGTAGGAGACCAATGGGAGGGTTAAGGAATTTAGGATGATGCATTTTGTCAAGCAGTAGTTAAGGTCGATGGTATAACTAGGTTTCATTCAGCCGTAATAAAAAAAAAACATTAACAAAAGTCTACACAGGATTACTTTCAGACGTTTTTGATCCCTGAAAGGGGGGGGGGGATTTGAAAGTTCGTGTGGGGGGGGGGGGACGACACTCGGAATTTGAAATTTTCGCCACGATGATGATGATTTAAGTACATTTTTTCTAATAAAATGGTATTTTTTTTCTTTTTCGTCCGCGTTGGTGGGGGGGGGGGGGGGGGGGATGCCAGAAAGAAACATTTATTTTCGATGGCCACCTGTACTTTTAGGATTTGTTTTTCAATCAAGGGATAGTGACCGTCTTATTGTCATTGACCAAGTCTGTCTTATTGTCACCGAGGGTTGTGGTTAGTTTGACTTGTCATTGACCAAAGTCTGACTTTTCACTTTTGATCAAAATTCTGTCGTTTCCACATTCGCCATTCGTTTAAAACTAAAGCATTGATCCGAAAGTTTACAGTAATCACCCTGTTGTGTTGTTGGATATATAAGTTACAACATTTTATTTGATGATCGAATGGTATTGGCAATATTTTTAAAAAAAAAATGTGCCTACGTTTTAACATTTTGTGTGTTGAAAACTGAAATATTTTTCTGTTTAAATATTTGACTCCATGTTGTTTTTTTAATGTTTCAACTTTTTGTTGTGTTAAGCTGATGATTTTTGACGTATATTACAATGGGATGAGCCGCCACAAGCACTTGAGCCAAGTGGGGCCAGGACGCGGGGCAAGTCAGAGCCGACAGAATGTATGTCAATATGTCAAGTAGAATGTATGTCAGTGCGTCTGTCAGTGGCGTCACACGGTTCTCCAGTACAGTAACTATTCGAATCTGTCAGAGCTCGTCTTGTTTAAAGTACATTTTCGTTTACAGCGGGGGTGGGGGGTAGGGGGTTTAGGCTTGTATCGCCGAGTTGGCGTTTCCCAGTCTTCTGCTCGGGTCTTCCCGCAGCAGACGAACAAAGAATTGACCTCCCTTTGCCGTCAAACTTCTTTCGTCTGCCGTTCACCGGCAGGGGAGGATAACTCAGTGAAACGAAAAGTATTTTCTTATCGTGGATAGTCGAGAGCGGTTGTGAAGGCGCTCCGCGGATTAAAGGATGGAGCCGACTCCTCGGATATATGTGTTAATCTTCCTGATCTGTGCACTCAGTGCCGCCGTATGGGCGTGTCCGGAAAAATGTTTTTGTGCCCGGACCAACGTCAGGTGTATGTTTGCTAATCTGGAGGCGGTGCCCACTGTACCATCGGATACTACAGTACTGTAAGTTGTTAAACCCTAGTCAAGTATTGTAAGTTGTAAAACCGTAGTAAGTTGTTAAACCCTAGTCAAGCACTGTAAGTTCTTAAACCGTAGTAAGTTGTTAAACCCTAGTCAAGTATGTAAGTTGTTAAACCGTAGTAGGTTGTTAAACCCTAGTCAAGTTCTGTAACTTGTTAAATCTTAATCCAAGTACTGTAAGTTGTTAAACCTTTGTTTGTCCTAGTACTGTAAGCTGTTAAACCTCTGTCCAAGCACTTAAATTGTTAATCCTTATCCAAGTACTTAAATTGTTAAACTTTTGTCTAAATAAAGTTGTTAAACCTTTATTGATGTAATTTGTTAAACCTTAGTTAAACCTCTCAAGAGTTCTGAAGTCGTCCAACCATTTACTTAAGGATTACGAAATGTTTTGATATGATCCTGCCGGCCACTAATAAGACACAAATGTTTCTCGTCAGACACCCTTAAGCCCGACTTGTTAGTGTTAATTAAGATAACGTCTATTGATTACAGGTAACAGGTAAGGGCTAGGTGGGTGTGGGTGGGGGTGTTAAAATTTAACTGCTGAGTGAATGAGAGAGGGAGGGAGGGATGGAGCTATAGAAAATGTAAGAGAGAGAGAGAGAGAGAGTAGGCGAGAATGTAGAACAATGTGCCTTAGAGGCGGTCTAAATGTAGAACATAGAACAATGTGCTTTAGAGGCGTTCTAAATGTAGAACATAGAACAATGTGCCTTAGAGACGTTCTAAATGTAGAACATAGAACAATGTGCCGTGAGAAATTCAGACAGTAGAACGGGAGAGTGAGATAAATATAGATTTATGCTGTGGATTTTATCATGGTGCAAGTTTTCGATACACAGCCCAGTGACTGTTTTTCTTTTCTTTTAACAATGTCCCGTATTGTATCGTTCTTTTAACAATGTCCCGTATTGTATCATGTTCTTTTAACAATGTCCCGTATTGTATCATGTTCTTTTAACAATGTCCCGTATTGTATCATGTTCTTTTAACAATGTCCCGTATTGTATCATGTTCTTTTAACAATGTCCCGTATTGTATCATGTTCTTCTAACAATGTCCCGTATTATACCAAGTTCTTTTAACCATGTCCCGTATTGTATCATGATTTCACTGTCGATCTTGGTTTGTAAAAAAAACGGCCTAGAGTGACCATCCCTCGACCACCTAGCTGTAACATGCGACCAGTACATGAGTGGGATGATTCTACTATCAAATTATTCCCCTATCTTCTCTTGTAACGGGGTATATAAAAGATCTTGGTCTCCTAATGATGTTCCCGTAGTTAAGATATTGGTGTCTTAACGATATTTCTGTCGAGTGATCATTTTCTCATAAAGATCTTCCCACCGTTATGATCTTGTCATCCTATAAAATCTTACTATCATTATGATTTTGTTCTCCTAATGATCTTTCCATCGTTATGATCTTGCAATCCTATGAAATCCTACTAAAGTACTGATCTTGTCTTAATGATCTTACCATCGTTATGGTATTGCAATCCTATGAAATCCTACTAAAGTAATGATCTTATCATAATGATCTTCCCATCGTTATGATCTTGCAACCCTATGAAATCCTACTAAAGTAATGATCTTATCATAATGATCTTCCCATCGTTATGATCTTGCAACCCTATGAAATCCTACTAAAGTAATGATGTTGTCCTAATGATCTTACCATCCTACCCTTATAATTGCCCTATGCGCTTGTCACGTGATAGTCCCTGATACCAAACGTCAAACATGAACGAAAGATTGGTAAACACGTCTGAGGGCGGGAGATTCCAGACGGTGTTGGCTGGGGCAGACGAGAGTTGTTCTTACCTTCCTGCCCTAACTCCCATTTCCTGCAGTCAACAATACACCCCACCCCCTCCCCGTTACATACACAGTTCTAATTTATCTCGGTCAAACTTAACTATACCAATACACCCCCCTTCCTCCACCCACAACACGGTTTTCTGTTTTCCTTCAATAATCTCAACAATAACACCTCTACATTTACCTCTTTCACTTTAAATAACATTTCCAACCTTCACTGCTAATTATCCTAAAGTAATCGACACAATACGACCCGACCCACAACGCCCCCCCCCTTCCCACACATGAGATTTTTGTGGGAAAAAACCCACCACCACCATCAAGCACGTATTCATGCAATGGACACCGCACCTCCGTTATGGTCAAATAGACCCCCCCCCCCCCTAAATCTCTAAGTCGGACCACACCGTAACCTGGTAAAAGGGTCACTCATGACCCACGTCAGGTGTGTGACCTTGGGAATCACTACTTTATGTGGTCAACACTGTCAGGACCAGTTAGACCTGAGATGGTTCTCTCAACTAGGATTTGAACCTCAAACTTTTACATTTCTACCGTCAACAAACTGTAATTGTGTATTTTTTAAGTGGAAAAAAAAAGTTCTTTTTTACTTTCTCGTATATACGAAGTATAGAGAAAGTATTGTAATCGTGCAAAAAAAAAAAATCGAGATTTTTACAGATCTCGACGTTTTACACCTCACTGATACGGAAAAACATAATTTTGCAATCTTGTCCGTATGTCTGTGTGTGTGTGTGTCTGTGTGTCTGTGTGTGTGTCCGTGTGTAAACACGATAACTTGAGTACCGTTACAGCTAGGTTGATGAAATTTCATATATAAGTATTATATCAAAATCGTAGATCCGTATCAACTTTTGAGCGATTTCCGATAACCGGAAGTGGTACTTTTCCTACTTTGAATTTTTCAAAAGCCTATAACTTGAGTACTATTTCAGATAGATAAATGAAATTTCACATGTAAGTAAAAGATCTAATTCTCTACCTTCTGTTAAATTTTGAGTAATTTCCGTTGACTGGAAGTAGTAATTTACGCTACTTCCGATTTCTCAAAAAACTAATGTAAATTTTAAAAGTACTAATAATATTGCGCACTATTATGCGCTTTTTTATTGGGCGTTCACTTGGTGTGCAATTAATTTGTCTACGAGATTTTATTCTATTTTTAAAACTTTAAGTATTTAAAATGGATTAAAAATCATGTCTATAGCCCGAGTTCCCATCCCCTGTTATTTTATATAAGAATATTCGAGAAAGTTTAGGGGAGATCACTCCCGGTTTATTAAACCATGCAACTTTACAATTCAATATAACAAATTTTAAGTTTAAAAAACTCAAAACTAGATTACCAAAATTTATTTTACGATAATATTTGCAAATTTTACAATGCTTACTTCTCGTAAAAAATTCCTTTCACATCTGGCGGTACATGGGGCACACGAATGGATAGTGTGGTCAGCACAATGTCCATTTTATCCTGTGAATTGTGTTTATATTGTTGGTGCAGTGTTCCTCATATTTCGATCACCCATAGACCATTCCTCCACCCAGATGAATCTAAACTTACTTTATAAACTATAGTGACCCTTATCACACGGTGCTAATGAAGACCGATTCGGGGATTAACCCTAACACTGGCATTTATCATGTTTACATATGTCATTTGTAATGTTTACATATCTTATTGTAAAACCAAGGGAGAGAATTACACCCAGTGATACAAGTAGATTGTTGTTATCTAGTACAGATAGAGTTGTCTTTTCTTAGTTTTTATTTTGTTAGAGTTCACGCAGGTGTAAACTAGGAGAGGGACGAGGGAGGTTGGGGAAAATCCTACAGCTTTTTAAATTCAAATAAAGCAAAAGCACTAATCTGTTGAGGTCGTAGTCTTAGAGTTATGCATTGACTCACTCGGGGGATTGTCCTGTCGGTGGGGGAGTAGGCGTGAGGGGGAGGAAGGAGCAGTGTTTCTTCCAAACTTTTTTCTCCGGGGGGGGGGGGGTGCAACTTTTTTCGGGGGATGGGGCGGACACTGGTAAAAGTATGTTTTCTATATAAATTCCATTTCGTTGGGGGACGGGGGTAGACTTTCTTCGGGGGGGGGGGGACAGAGCCCCCCCCCCCTCAAAGAGATGCCTGGAAGAAACTCTGGGAAGGAGACCAGGGGTCATTGGCCTGAATTATTGTTGCTCACGGGAGAATCGCTTGTTGCTGACTCTGTACCACACATAACTGTCTCACACATGTCTCACTCACACATGTCTCACTCACACATGTCTCACTCACACATGTCTCACTCACACATGTCTTACTCACACACGTCTCACTCACACATGTCTCACTCACACACGTCTCACTCACACATGTCTCACTCACACATGTCTCACTCACACATGTCTTACTCACACACGTCTCACTCACACATGTCTCACTCACACACGTCTCACTCACACATGTCTCACTCACACATGTCTCACTCACACATGTCTCACTCACACATGTCTTACTCACACACGTCTCACTGACACATGTCTCACTCACACACGTCTCACTCACACATGTCTTACTCACACACGTCTCACTCACACATGTCTCACTCACACACGTCTCACTCACACATGTCTTACTCACACACGTCTCACTCACACATGTCTCACTCACACACGTCTCACTCACACATGTCTTACTCACACACGTCTCACTCACACATGTCTCACTCACACATGTCTCACTCACACATGTCTCACTCACACATGTCTCACTCACACATGTCTCACTCACACACGTCTCACTCACACATGTCTCACTCACACATGTCTCACTCACACATGTCTCACTCACACATGTCTTACTCACACATGTCTCATTCACGTTTCACTGACATCGTTCTACTTGATTAGTTTCGTGTTCTGTGTCGTATGTGTGCTTAGTGTAGTATAGTGCACTCTATGTCTACTTAGTGTAGTGCGCCCGATGCCTACTTAGTGTAGTGCACCCTATGCCTACTTAGTGTAGTACACCCTATGTCTACTTAGTATAGTACACCCTATGCCTAATTAGTGTAGTACACCCTACTTAGTATAGTACACCCTATGTCTACTTAGTGTAGTACACCCTATGTCTACTTACCGTAGTGCA